CGTTAAAAACTGATGTTTTGTCTTTTGATTTCAAGAAGTAAACAAAACGCATGCCGGTCAAGTCATCGGTGAATAGAATGTAGTATAAATAACCATCGTTAACAAAACCTCTGACAATCCCGCTTAAATCTACATGAACATTGTCCAGTTTATTTTCAGCACGAGGTCTAGTGTTGGAGAAAGGAGGTCTTTCACTCTTTGATTTAATACAAGCAATACATTCAGTAGGTTTAGACAAATCAAAATTTTCAGAAACCCCTTCAATCATTTTTCAGAGGTAGGCGAAATTAGGGTGACCTAATCGATTATGAAGTTTGATTAAAGTATCAGATTGAGTGATTATAACTGAAGATGATTGCTGAGAAGAGATTTGACGTACTGGACATTCGATTAGCTTGACTATCATGAGGTTGCCCGAGAAGAATCCTCGAAATAGAGTCTTCTTGCCAAGGATCAAGTTGAAGAGATGAGGCTTTGTTGAATCAATGGAAGGGATGACTCCTTTCTTGATTAGAGCACCAGCAGCGATTAAATTCTTGTTGAGATGAGGTACATAAAGTGAATTTTCGAATTTCATAACATTTCCATCAACATCTAACAAGTAAGCAGTTCCAATCTTTTCAATTTCAAGTGTATCATTACCACCAGCTAAGTTAAGTCTTTTAGATGGATCAGGGTTTGGTGTGAGTGAGTTCTTGTCAAAATGTTTCAGATTGTTGACCATATGATGCGATGAACCGGTGTCAGCTAAGCCAAAAGAGTTGCTTGGAACCTTTGCCTGCACTGCTTTATTACTACAGAAGTAATTGATATGAAAGACAGTTGGTTGGCTGTCATCTGTTGATACATTCATAGAACTAGCAAATCAGCGGCGGGCGCCGTGGCCAAGGATTGTTATCTGTACACAAGGTCTAACCTGAACTGAATATTACTCTTAGATCCTGTCCAAAATATGTCGAATGTTTGACCAGTTACCTTCAGGCAGCCATCTCATCTGTACAATAGTTTTCTGCAAAGAAATGCCGCCATGTGGGCTTTGGGTAGCTACATTTAGGGCTGGCCTGGTAAATGGCCATCTGTCATCATGGTTCCCACTGTTGAGGCTAAAATTTAACACAAACCTTTGGGGCTTTTGGCTTTTTTTTGTGTTGAATTGGAAAAGTTGTTACAGAACCTGTGTGCAGAAAGCAACTCCCATATTCCCTGGACATGTAACTGGTATATGTTCTTCTTTTTCTCTGATATCAAGGACCCATGCAAAAACAATTTCTCATGGCAATGAAGAGTGAATACAACCCACAACTACGCCTTTATTGTCACCAATCATGGCTATCTAAATTGCTGACACCCCTTGCATCCTTTGTACATGGTGCTTTGGCTCTCTTTTGCCCATATCAAAAGATCATGTTTGTCACTTTCATCTTGAAGTATGTAAATCTGAAATATCTTGGTGCTCCAAAATATTAAAGTAATTGTTTAGTATCACATATCATATTTATCCACCTGTTTGCTGACTTTGGAAGCCTCCACACCACAATGATTCACACAAATCCAATATCAAGACATGTGAAAACCCTGGATATTCCCTATTGATGTTTATTCAATATCCTCTCCTTTGGCGAGCTTTGTAAATTCCTTGTAAAATTCGTCCAGTTTGTTGGTTATCTTTCAAGTGCTCTTTCATCAGACTCACATGTACCTCCTCATATCATACCTCCAATGCCAAATATGGCCAACCCTAAACCAGCTGACATTTGATGAGAACCCTGAGAAAACTTCTGTTAAAACAGTTGCTGTGCTGACTGCCATAATAAACATAGGATCATCTAGAACAGCAAGACTGAAAAGTGCTTCATGTCTTTCCACTTTTGGAACTCTGCCTTCAGACACACCCAATCCCCCTACTGTAAGGGGTACACGTAGTTACATTAGGCTATGGGTTTAGCTTATGGGTTTAGATAGTTCTAGTATACATTTGCCCTTCCACTCTGGCTCCGGATAATCCTCACTCCTCTGAGAGCCTCGCCTGGGATTATCTGGAGCTAGGTGAGTTTCTTATCTTTCTTTGTTGTTTCTTCATTTAGTAGTAGCGCTGACTCCTCTGAGAGCCTCGCCTGGGATTATCTGGAGCTAGGCCTTAGTTCGTAATACAAACAGAAGTCCCAACTTAGTGCTTTCGAGAGAGTCTCATCGGAGAGAAACCAAACCCAGTGAAGGTCATTGAAAGACCTTACACCTACGTCAATCCTTGAAATGCAATGTATGCAAAAACCGCCGAATCAATCTTACATTTCATTGGACTATTGTGATCTTGATGAGTATGATGATGTGATTGTTGATATTGAACTTGTAGTGCATGAATTAGCAAGTTCCAAGTAATCTGAATGAAGAGCCATGTTACAAAGAAAAATTACCAAAACATAGAAGATCAACCCCAAGAGATGATTAGAATCAAGGCACCGCTTGTGATGCTTTTATGACACTCTCAAACTCTCAACAATGAGTAGAGCTCTTCACGCAAGGGGAAACAGTCACTTTGCACTTCTGCCACAGCAAAATTTTGGTTATGGATTTTCCTGGAATCAAAATGGCTTATGAGTCATTAATTTGGTTGTCCTGAAACACATTTTTTCCACCAAAAAAGCATGTTTTGGTTTGGGTGAAACAAAACTAAATAGGTGCCTTCAAAATAGCAACAAAACAGAAAAACTTAACCAAGTCTCACACTGGACATAACCACCAACTCCAGTGGAGGACTTAAGCCTAAAGTCAAAAGATGGTGCAAGTTCAGTTAGGGCATTTCTCAAAAATCTAGCCACCTTATGAAACTTTTTTCATGCTTTCAGCTTACCCTTTCCCAAGACATGAAAGTTGTGCCCCTTGCTTTTCTCTACAAACCAGCCACCATGTCAGTATCCTTGTAGCATGTCGATGTGCACACACAGAGAGTTTCAAAAAAATAGAAAGTTGTTTGGTAGGCTTTACATAGAGATTGGTGCCAAGCACCCTTGGTGAATGATAATTTGACAAAAGGACTTTGGGATCCTTTGTCAGCAGTTGGAGTCAACTGAACGTCAACGCCCCAGTTGACAAAGGGAAGAAATACCTATTGTGGAGACCTCTTTAATGGGTCTTTCAAGTATGTATCAAAAGTCTTTGGTGTGTGCACGTTGACGTGCTACCCAGATACGTTCACGGTGAGCACTTGTGGTATTTCAATGATTTCATTGGTTCTGAAGTAAAAGGAAAACTTTTTATTTCAATTCCTCATCAAAACCAACATTTTCAATGCACATCAGTGCTCATTACTCAATTTTTGTCTTTGAGCCCTGAGATATTTTTATCTATATCTACAGAAGTACTCAGTTACTGATGAACCAAAAGTTCAAGATTATAGATACAGTAAAGGTGCACATTTTTGTATTTGGGAAAGGGAAAGTTGAAATTGGAAATAAATGTTTCACACAGTGGCTAGATTTTTGAGAAATGTCCCAAGAGAACTCACACCATTGTTTTAACTTTGGGTGTAAGTCACTCACTGGAGTTGGTATTTAGGTCCAGCTTATGAGTTAGCTACATTTGAGAAGCAAACCAAGAATTGTGATTAGTTGTGGTCTGTTCAAATGCAGGTAGGTTAGGTCAGATGGTGGACCATCCAGGGGGAAGATGATGAGATTCTACCCCTTGCATGGCTTTTTTTGTTTCAATGTCATATTTATGTTGTCCACACCAGTCCATACTGTGCCATCCCTTTTCCGTAAATGTTTTTTTAATATTAATTCCATTGTAGCTTCTTTGCGAATAGAGAGTTACTCCTTTGCGCGTAGCACACACATCTTGTCTCTAAATCAAGCCACTATGACAAGGAGTTGTCACTGCCAACATATTTACCTTGGATTTCTCAATTCAAGGTATTCTCGTATTCCAAACCTCAGACCAAAACTTTCCAATATTTTGATCCAAGGCAATTATCAGCGCACAAGAATACCTTGGATAAAAACCTTGGACAAGGTGTGTCAGAGTATTTGCCTCCAACAATGCCTTGGATTTCTCAACCCAAGGCATCTATGTTGGTAGTGTGTAGTGTGACTTGGTCTAAAAAATCTCAGCTCGCAATCCACAGAAAATGAAGAATATGAAAAAGAGGGTTCCAGTAGAATATGAAGAGGCTTTGGCTGGAATCAGAAAGATGAAAGAGAAAAAATCAAACAGGACACAGAAATCAAAGTCATAGACTTTCTATGGATATGATGCTTTTGTCTTTACATATCAGAAAATATTTTTATCCTCAATTTAAACAGATTGTTTGTTACATTTGTTTTATCCAAAATATGGACCAGCAATGCTTTTGTTCTTGGTTTTTTCCAATCTTCTGTGCCCAAGAGCAACAAATTTTTGAAATCAATTGCAGATTTTGCAGATGTTGTGTTGTGATTTTGGTTTGGAACTCAAACCAACACTGTGAGAGGAATTCTTTTCTTGTTGGTTTTTTTTTGGAGTGTGGTATGTACAATCTTGGTTAAGTCCAAAAGTTGTGGTGCATTTCATTGCAAAGTGAGTGTTGATAGGGGCCCTGAGATTCTGAAGTTAACTGTGATGAAACTGATTATATTGAGCAGGTCAAGTGAGAGGCACCAAATTGGTTGTATGCAGTTCATCAAAATCAGTCCATAAAATGAATCATGGATCTTGATAATGATGATACATATTGAAAAATCAATGTCATGAATGCTAAAAAGCATGAGATTGATTTGGATGAGATGAATGTACAAATTCAAAATGTGTGACTACCTTAAAAAGCTGAAAGTATGAAAGAGGGATGAAAATCTATAATGGTAGGAATAGGACATGATCAATTCTAAGATGATAGTTGATGTGAAGCAAGAGAGTGACTAACAAATTTACAACTAACATCAATCAATTGGATTCAATCAAGGTATGGCGCAGACTCAAAGTCAGTTCAAAGTTCAAGAATGAGAATTTTGAAGTTGACCAGATGATCAATTAAAACTTGAGTAATGTACAGGTTGATTACAAGTTGGATTGGTTTGACTTGATTCAGGGTCCGTATCAATAAATTCTGAAAAAGGATAAATATTATTACCACTTTGGTGAATAATGATCAGATTTGACGTGAAATCAATCCTCATTACCAATATTACCCTCAAGCACCTATTAGTATAACACTCTGTTTCCAAGACTGCTGTATCATCACCCGTTCGAGTCCTCGTACTTTCAATCTTTACAGGATTTTTGGTCAAAACACATCTTTGACCACGATCTTGCATCATAGATGATTCTTCATCGACTGATCCAATCTTTCTTTTCTGTAACTCTTCCGGATCCCATAGGTAAGATTGAACCACCAAACTTGACAACTGGGAAGGTATCCAGGATCGCTCTTGTCAATTCAATGACACGTGTCTGATGACCCAAATTAGTATCTTTGCCATCCATTTCATCAGGATTGGGAAGACAACCTCTCGCGCATGGACTGTATTGTTAAGGATGACACATGGCCCAAATCTCTCCTGATATGATAACAATCAGAAGCCTACCCATAAAGGTATTAGGACACATGAGAAGAAGGGTACCCGGAATAACAGATAAGAAAAGGACCTATGCACTTAGTTGCTCATTAGCATCAATATGAATCGATATATATCAGATGAATTGATTGGATCAAGGAAGCAGCTTACATTAGAGTCGTGCATCCAGTGATGGCATTTAAGATGATCATAGCAAGTCCAGTGTTAGCATTACCACCACCGTTGTTGTTATTATTGTTATTGTTAGAATTGTGGTTACTATATGTTGTTGAGAATCAGACATTACACTTCCATTGGCAAGAGTAGCGATCAGATAGACTGGAGTTGACTTGCTAGATTTAGAAGGATTCGATTTTCGTGCTCCAAAAGAGTTAGAGTTAGTGACAACCGATTTGCATGCACTGCCATGAGGAATTGCACAACAAAAGCGAGTGTTGTTAGAAGATTTTCCAAATAAACTTGGAGCTGCATCAGTTGTGGATTGAGGTACCGAAACTGATAAAGTTGAGGCAGGTGCCTTTACAGCTGCATAGCCAGTTTGATCAATTTCATTAAGGATAGTAGAAGCAGAAGTATTGTTTAGATCAGATTGAAACTAATATCCAGATCCGACTACATTGGATGTTTGAATAACAGATTTGGCAAAAGTGATTGAAGAAGAAGAATTCTTAAATCTTGACTAACCTAAATTGAGATTCAATCCAACGAGCGCCCTGTAAGTTTGCTGAACTAAAGATGTCTGATGGTTTTTAGAATTAAGAACGTCTTCTGAATAAAGACCACAAGAGCGTGCAGTAAGAGAATAAAGTACAGCAGCAGCAGCTCCACGGTCGCAAGCGAGAGCAAGGATATCATTGACCATTGAGGATGTTGAGGTACAGCTATAGTTAATTGATGGTTGAGGTTGATTTTTTTGAAATTGTTTCTTTCGTTTTGAAGCTGCAATCTAACTCAATCTTATTTGTGCCGGTCTGAGTCGGTTTATATTTGTCAAATTTCCGTATTGAGATCAAGCCTTACCGCGATTGAACTTCCTTCAATCAAAAGATATCAGATAAGACAACAACAGCCAGATCTCTATACTTTTCAGATCCCGATTTGACACTTTATATCTTCCCAACTGGATGGCAATTCCGAAGTTAGATATCGTGCATGCGATTGTGACTGTAACACCCGGTTATTTGATTGCAAGTTGAATCAACAATTTAAAGTGGGATCGTTGACTGTTTAGGTTGGAGAAGATGATTGTGGTTAGCCCTGGGTTTTGCGGTGTGTTTGAGCTAATGGGATTGTACAACACCATTTGGAAGCTTTGCTATTTTTGTTGATGGATCTTGAGCAAGTTTTCTAGTAGAAAATGACTGATAATTTATGATCGGTGAAGGAATCCAATGTTGTTCAGGCGATTCACGGTGAATTTAGGCAAGCTGTATTGTATCTAAATTGAGAGATAGTTATGTACCGGCCGGCGGCAAGGGAGTTTTTGATGATTCAATTCAAATATTTCCTCATGACTATGGTTGATTTGTATCTGGTTGTAGGTTGTAAATGGTCAAGTTGATTAGTGATGTGATTAAATTTGATTTGATCATCTCGAAATCAAACTCACTTTCAATCCCTGTTAGACTTTCATCTGGTCTGTAACCAAATGATATCTTCTGTGGCTTTCAAATTCTGTACGGTTTTCAGAATTGAACCACAAGCTCTGCAATTTGATCGAGCAAGAGGAATAATCTGCATTGATTAGAGATTGATTTTGATTGAATAAAAGGATTGATCTTGACTGACTGAAGTAATGAAACTGGTGATATCTAATTGAAGTGAAACCCATCAGGGGATGGGGCAAGCAGAGGCTAGGCAGGCTGGAATTAAAGGAGAGAAATTAAACGTTTTTGGGACAGGGAAATTAGGTTGCTACAGGTAAGACTTATAAAGGGCCTAGGGGTTTAATCCAGTTTTGCCGAGAAACACGGTTGTGCCTTTAGTTTTATGATTCATAGCATCGGTCAACTCGTCAAGTTCTTGATCGACATCGGTATCTTGTTGAATGTTCGATGAATTTCGATGTTGAAACGTCTTAGCTTTGCTGTTCGATTGTAAGTGATTGGGGACTTGTCCTCTCCACAAGTCTGGCTCGCAGCGCTGCTAGGCCATATTTGGAAAGCGCTGCGCAGAACGGGGTGTCTCAAAGCCGGCAGCGTTAAGG